ATCGATTAGTAATGTATGTCACCTTTAAATTTTTCATAATCCATAAAACTCATGAATCAATATCAATAGATCTAAGTTCACGAAGTTTCTAACTATATAAATATAGTGCTAATATATCATTACTCAATATTTTTTTTCAAGGGTTTTTCGATCATTGAGATTACTCGCTCTGAGTATTTGTTGACAATCAAAAAGTTTCTTGAGTATTTCTTGATGATCAAGAAGGCCTCTGATGGTTGAAAACAGCTTAGAGATATAAAACTTTGTAATGTATTCAATAACATCCTTTATAAATTTTTTTAAAAAAACGTAAAAAAAAGTCACTCGAGAAAAAAACGAAAAAAGTTCCTGAGCTAATTTTTTTCTTATGATAAGTAGGTAAGTGCATACTCATTCGTAAAAAATGAGTTATACCTGATGAGAGTATACTAGGGATAAAATAAACGCTCCTAATACTTCTAGTTTTGGAACAGTCCTTATTAAAATTTCAAAGTGAATCAGTTAACAACTGTCAAAACCATTTTTTTTTAACAAGTAAGAAAATAGTCACAGGAGAATTGAGCGAAAAAATATTTTATGTTCGTTTGGATAACATTCCAAAATGATTTGTAATTGAGTTTGTGTTATTTTGTAAAAAATAATTTAATCTTTTTAGATACCATGCTACTATCTTTTGAGAATTCCTAAATTGACCCTTCAAGTATTTCTCAATCATCGAGAAACCCTCCCAGTCTTTCGAGACAATCAAAAAATCCTTCGAGTATTTCTTGATCATCGAAAAGCTCTCAAAGTTCTTCTCGACGATGGAGAAACCTTCTGGTTACTTTTTGATAATGGATAATCGTACTTTTCATTAGTTACCTCTCATAATATTAGTTATTTTTGTGAGCGCGCGGTGGCTCAGTCGGCTAGATCGTGTATTGGCATACGGGAAACCGTGGTTCTATTTCCGGCCAGTGCGACTCTTTCGGGCAATTACCTCTGTGTATTTTCACATGTGCTTATTCACTACGCAATGCTCCTCGAGGAGGGTTTAGGCGACTTTCTCACAGCAAAATTGCCTAATTTCTCCCTACCCCCCTCCTTTCATGGGAGGCCTCCCATCCCTTTCCTTGTCCCTTTTCCAAGTGCTAAGTGCCCATAGTAGTGTCCTTTTCATAGGAGCCAGACGTAAAGCACTATAATATATAAAAAAAAACAATAGTTTTCCTACGAGTTTGAAAAGTCTCTGTTTGCGAACCGAGAGGTTTGCGGCCCGAGCCGGAGGCGAGGTCCGTAACGAGGTTCATAAAGGAGACTTTTCGAACGAGTATCGGAAAACTGCTTTTTTGCCCGAGGAAGTACCAGCCTCCCAAAACAACGCGAGGGTGGAAAAACTTATTTTTCTTATGTTTAATGTTTTATCATTTAACAAGTATACATGACATGATGTATGAAAAATGGTGTGGGGGTCTGTGGAAGGACAAGAAAAATTGTGTAGGGGGGCTGTGGGGGGTCTAAGGAAAAAGTCTGAAAATGTCAAATAATCGATGAAAACGGTCGGATTTCAGCTACTTCGTGGGTGGCTGTGGGGGGCTGCGGAGGGTCTGTGGGGGGGATATGTGGAATGCCCCACACAAATAACTATATAATATAGCGAGATATATAGTAGTTGGTAAAATAAATAATATTAAAATCAGGTAAAGATCGATATAATTTTACCTTATTATGAGGGGAATGAGAGGAGTTACCAGGGGGCTGAGAGTGCTCTTTAAAATTAGACGGGGAGCTGAGAGAGCTTAACAAAAATTTAACGCAATTAAAATGAGGTAAAAACTAATATTATTTTACTTTATGTAGAGGGGGAGAAGAAAGGCTGAGAGGGGTTGTGTAAAATGACCCTTTAAGATTATTATTAAATATAGGAAGACATATGTATATTTTTATATATTATTTAGTTATTTTAAAGGAATTAAGTCTGTTTACCACTTCCATCCTTCTTTATACTACACGATCCTCCTACAATACCATGTTATTCAATTATTTTCTTGCTGTTTTTTACATATCATTACATTCTCCTCCATCCCCATCCAATCCACTTCATCATCCATGCAGCCTTCACGCATTCTACTCCATTCCCCACTTATCTCTTACAATTGAAACCGTTTTCTTGTCAAGGATTTTTCTCAAAGTTTATTCGGTTGCCTCAGGATCAGTTTAATTCTTTAGGAATGAATTGCATGTGTTGTTAAACCGCGGATCCAAACGAATTTTAAGGGCTCAAAAATTTGGGAAATGGTTGCGTTTTGTTGGGTAGTAGATTTGGTTGCACCCATCAATTAGAGGGTTATACAAGAGATTTCGATTTATTTTTATGAAGTTTGAAACTCATATTATAGTAAAATTTTTTTAGAATAATACCTTGTAAATATAAAGTAAAATGAATTATCCGCGTAAAAATTCTACACGATGAATGTAGAAACTGTGGATTTTCATGTCTTTTAAAATTTTTTAATGTTGAAAATCGTTTTCCACANTAATTTCGTCGTTTAACGACAGTTTAGAGTATGTCTACGAATTTACACATTATTTATTTATTTTTTTATTACATAAAAAATTTTTTCAGGGTACATCTTCTATTCGACTATTTTAATATATATATATTTTTATTTAAGGTTCTGTCTTCATTAGAGGTATGAATGCAATACATATATATACATATATATTATAAGTTTACTTGATTTAACATGATTATGAAAGATTTAAACGTTGCCCGAAAATATTTTTTACAATTACATACTTAAAATAGCAACTAATTATAAAATCTCCGAAATAACCAAATAATACAAATAAAATAACAAAAGTAAAAAAAATCTACAGCGACACGTTTTAAGATTTAGATACTGTATTGGTACTTAAGTACTTTCCTATTACCAAAATGCAAAATTCTGATAAAAACATACTCATGATTGTTTTCGTTTCTGTGTTCATTTGCATTTACTCAACAGTCAGTTCAATATATGAAGCATTTTAAAAGAATCGCTGAAGCCATGAGAAAAATACTTTTAAATAACTTTCTATGCAAGGTTTGTTGGTATTTGACTGGTCTCTCCTATACAAACGTAATTAATTATTTTGTTGTTATATAAGACCCTAAAAATCTCTGCTGGGAGTAATAAATTCAAGTTTTGAATTTGCTGCTACAATTTTTTAAATCGCAATTGTTTATGATGCCAACGTCTTCGGTACCACGAGGTCCATTCGTGACAAATGCAAGTGGCGTCGCAGCGTAGTAGGGAAGCAGCTGAAACTGCGTAGTTGGAAAATATGCTGGTGGAAACAGACCCTGTCGCTGGGCCATTTTGAAACGCGAAGTCAGCTGCTTCTTCCATTTTGTGCGTCGATTCTGGAACCACGTTTTGATCTGCACCTCCGTAAGATTTAACTTCTGGGACAAATCCATCCGTTTGCTTACACTCAAGTATTTGTCTTTCTGTGAAAGATGTTATTTGGTTTGTTGACTTTTATTGAATATTGATTAAGTGTACTTAATTTACTCATTACTTTATGATAATGCATCATATTAGTATTATTATAATTATTGTACTTAGTTCAAATTTTTTAATACTTGGGGGCACAATTCTTAACATACATAACCCCTGAACTTTTATTCAATTTTAATTTTTTGTGATGTAAAAATTATGTTTTTTCTAATACATCGTTCATTATTTTTTTTTAACAATTATTTTTGTTTTTTATCTTAGACTTCTCAAAATAGCAGTTTTTCAGTTTTCCGTTTTTAGAATCAAGTAAGTAATCTCTACCAATAACACAACGAATACAAGGCTAAAGTATATGAGGTACTCAAGATGAAAAACCGAATGCATTAAAATTTTATTAACAAATTATATAAATGATGTGTATTTTATGCATACTTTATCTTCTATTGATTAAATTTCCTTTACTCGTCAGATTTAACGCTAATGTACTTAATGTTATAAAACTAACCTTGAATTCCGTTTCAAGCATTTCAAGCTGTTTAGCACTGTAAGCTTGCCTTGGTTTCCTATCAATACCTGGTTTCCGAGATCTTCTTCCACAAGGTTTTGGTGCTGTAATAATAGCAAAAACCATTATGGGTGATACAACATTCTCCTTCTTGAACGATATTTTGAAATTTCAGGCTTTATCTAATAAAACTATTAATCTGAACTCTTGGAATTTATCTAAAATTATAAANAATTGCTCTGCATTTTCGTAAGACAGCTGAATAAGTCTTCGAGAAAAAACTACATCAACTATGAAACTCTTTATGAAAGAGTAGCAACTCGTGATAGTATTCATGAAGAGATATGAAATGGAGCTATTCGTGGGTAAAAAAGAGACCATTCTAATCTTTGCAAAGTTCTGAGACATATGAATCTATAAAAGAAAAATTTGAAACTGAGGTGATTTTTATAAGCAGTTTTAATCTTCGTTTAATGGAGATAAATTAACAATTTTAAAGAAGAAACATAGGTTCCAAATTTTATTTGTGTGCCAATTACATGCAGAGTTTAGAAGCGTTTGGCGATTTAAACCTGATAAGATGACATAAGTCTTAAAATAAAAGTTGTCCACATTTCTTTCATACACACATACAAAAGATCACAAGGTGGCGGGCTACCGTTGTTCACAGTAATGTGGATTAAGAAGACATAGCTTTGTGACAAAATAATACTGTTAAAACGTTGATCAAGTTACGTTGATGATGAGTATTATTAATACTATAAAAAAAAGTGATATTAAAGATTTAAAAAAAAAAAAATCAAGTTATATTTCATCGTATTGTTCTTAAAAGTAATGAATCCATTCGAAACTTCAGCTCACGTGCGAACCATTTCAAAAGGTATAGTATAATCGAGTAAAGCTAGGGCCATTAATACAGACTCCAACACGTCATACAATAGACCTACGCCATAAATTAAAGTACCGGGCATCACGCGAGCGGTGCATCAGTAACTCTGTAAGTGATCATGGCGTACCTAACGTTTTACACTTACCCCACATGTACTGTTTTTAATTTATTCGGTACGAATCGATTGATAAACGGGATAGAAAAAATAAAAAACTCGTTAAAATCTTTTGCAAAGTAAGATAAAGAGTTACATCGACGTCAGATACCTTGAAGGCCAAATATCTGTCCAGGTTTTGACTGGGCGAGCCAGCTGTTGTACAACAGAGACGCGGAGGCAAGGGATGCTGCAGAGTAGGCCGTGGGGTCCAGTAGATTCGTCTCGGGAAACTGTAGATTCGTTCTGACGTATGATCCGTTACTTGTACCTGTAATTTTAGAGGAAAAATAAAATTTTTTTGGTCGTTTTACGTTAGTCTTGCTTCCTAGTTTACTGATGACAGTGTGTGTTGTTTTTATTAGTAGTTTTTGAAATTGTAATTTATTCATTTTTATGAAAAAATCAGTTAGGTTCGTTTGGTAAGTTTTGATAACTCATGTAGAATTCACTGGAAAATAAATGTAATGTAATAATATACCTGTATATGTAAGTATATTAATCAACCGTGTATTTAGTTGTAATCTCTATTACGGGATTATTAACATTTCGTACTTAAAGGAAATTTTTCTAACAAATTTCTACGTTTACTAGCATATTCACATGCTTAAGACGCGGATTTAAGTAACAAAAATATTTTTGTCTGGGTATCCACAGTAAACGTTAACACAACACTACATAGGAGTTTATAAATCTTGCTAAACTTGTTTCACGAAATTTTTTTTTAAAGATATCGGAATTCGGGATATTTACCATGATAAAATTCAAAATCGGGTTATTTACCTTATCAATAAGCTTTGTGATGTTATTCGCGCTATTTAACGATTCATTTGAGAAGTAACTCTTATTCGAAGGTTTCCATTTCCTAGAAGTAAAAAGTTGACGTTAACGTGAATTGCACATGTTTATCAAACAATTAACAGTTCGTTTAAAATTTCCGAAACGGACGATTTTTATTGACGACGGTTTATGAAAGGTACTATAGAGAGGACTTCTTTACGTGGAAAATTTTGTGTTTACTTTTCGAATACAGGTGCGTTTTCTCTGAAAGAGGGAGATCTGTTCAGCATATTCTTTTACATCTGGGCTTTAGTAACTAATATAACTCATTTACGATATTTATGTTCATAAGTATGATATTCAGTATCTTTGATTATTGGTTTTTTTTGGTCACAGGAATGTTTATTATAGATAATGATTTTGACTTACAGATGACTGAAGATAATAAATCCTACTTGTTATTTATTTTTAAAAAAGTATAAAATGCTAACTTTGATCCGCAAAACTTTACGTTATGACTTTTCAATTTTTTGACTATGTTAGTGATTTTTTGATGACTATTAAAGAATATTTGTCACAATTGTCATAAAGAAGTCCAATTCGTATACTTCAAAATACTTCTACACATGAAGCTCCTATTTTCTTGTACTAGACATTACGAATGTTCTTTTCTGATTATTCTTATTTTTATAAAAAATCGTAAAGCTTCATCCTCAAACCTATTTTCAGAAAATAATTCAAATTTTACGA